GGGGAGTTCAGGGGGGGTCCGGGCGCAGATGACAGAGTCAGGCAACGGGGTGGACGTGTGTGTGTGTGTGCGTGCGTACGTGTGTGTGTGAGGGTGTGTGTGAGAGAGAGAGTGTGTGCGTGCGTGTGAGGGTGTGTGTGTGTGTGCGTGTGTGAGCAGCTGAGCCCCGTGACGTCGGCAGCTGCCCTCACCGGCGCATGGCGGTTGTTGCGCGCCTCCCGCACGAAAAAGTTGGCCACCTCCTGCCCCATCACCACCGCCTCTGGGCTGTGGGGGATGCTGAGCGACCGCGCCCACTCTGCAGACGGGGCAGGCAAAGGCAGGGGGAGGGGGAGGCCAGCACGAGAGAGAGAGAGAGACTGAGCACGAGGGGCCTTTCTTGGGAATGGGGCCGCCGCGTTTGCGGGGGCAGGGGCGGCCGCTGCGCGTGGGGACGCGGCGCCGGCAGCAGGCAGCAGGCGTCAGCCCAGCGACAAGGTGCTGCGTGAGATGGATGGTGCATGTGGCGAACACACACACACACAAACACACACACACACACACATACCCACACACACAAAAGGGGGCCGGGCTGCGGCCGCGAACTCACCATACTGGTTCTTCTCAGGGTGCCACTGCGTCGCGGTGATGGGGTACTGCGGGCGGGAAGGTGCCGGGAGGGTTCGGGAGCATGTGAGGGATGAAGATGATGGGCGGCGGCAGGATTTGGCAGAACACAGGGCGCCCTACGGTCAGCCACCGGCGCCTCGGCACAGCCTCCCCTATCGCAGCCAGCCGCTCTCGAGCCCTGGCTCTTCCTTGCACGCCCCACGCCGGGGGGCGTCGCGGCTGCCGGACAGTCCGCCGGCGCCGCCTTGAGGGGGCAGGGGCGCCAGGGTCTAGCCCTAGGGGTTAAGGGCTTGAGGTTTGGGGGGTTTAAGCCCTCGCCCACCTTCCGGGCCTCCATGGTTGAGATGTAGGGCAGCCCCTTGCGGTCCAGGGAGAGGGAGAGCACCTTGAAAAAGTCCTTGAGCTTGGGGTTCTCCTCGTATGACGTCATCAGGACGCCTGAGGCACGAGATGGCGCGCGCGCGTGTGTGTGGGCACGTTTGCATGCGTGTGAGTTTGTGTGTGTGAGTCTCGGCATGTGTGTGTGTGTATGTGTGTGTGCACGTGTGCGTGCGCACACGCGCACGTGCGTGCATGCGTGGGTAAGTATGTGTGTGTGTACGTGCGTGTGTGCCGACATGTGTGTGTGCCGAGAAGCGTGAGTAGATGACGCGAGCTAGGCCCTGGCTCTGCCTGACAGGCGCGTCAGCTGCATCGCAGTGCCGGCCGCCCAGTGCCGCCCTCCCAGCACCCTGCTCACCGTGCATGTGGTTCTCCATGGCAATGGCCTGGTTCTGCAGGTTGCGCACCACGACTGGGGGCAGGGAGCTGCCAGTGTGTGTGTGTGTGTGTGTGTGTATGGGGGGGGTGTTGACAGGGGTGAGCAGAGCGGGGCAAATTGTGGTCGCAACGGCGCGGTGTGATTACAAAATCAAAATCAACTAATAAGGGGCGCACTACAGGGACTTGAGCATGTGCATACGTACGCAGCCAGGCACATATGTCAGCACAGGCTCGAGCTCTGGCGCACGCACGCGCGCACACACACACACACGTACACACACATACATACACATACACACACATACAAACACGAACACACACACACACACACACATCTGCAGACACACAGAACCTCAAAACGCGTAGCATACAATATGATGCCGCGTAGTGAGGCCCAGCCCCACCTGAAGAAATGGCTGTCCTCTGCGACATCAGTGTAGAGCAGGGGTGCGGCCGCATCCTCCGCATCCATGTCCGCCAGCAGACTGTAGTTGCCGCTCACCTGGGGCACAGCCGCAGCGGTTTGTTCAGTTGTTTGGGTGACATTCAGTATTTGAGTGCTGGGTCTGGTTGCTGATGTATTTTGTGTCAGCAGGGCTGTCGCATCTCGATTAGTGGCGGGTGTCGGCCCGGCAAACGAGCGCAAGGCAGCCGAGCGCGCCGGCCGCTGTGCATTGGGAAATGGGGGAGGGGAGCGTCACTGATCGTGACGCACAATGATGGAGAGTGTCTCCATCCCGAGGCAGGTGCCGTGCACCGGGAAGTAATCGCCTGCATCGTTGGCCTGGTGTTCGAGGGCGGGAGAGGCAGCAAGAGGCGGCGAGGTGCGACGGGTGAGGGGGGGGGAGCGGACGCTACGCAGACAGTGGAGTGGAGGCGCCGGCGCGGGCCGCGGCCGCGTCGGCCGCGCGCCGACGAGCGTCCGCGCGGCCGGCGGCGTGGTCGAGGAGGGCCCGGCGCGGTCCGGAGGGCGGGCGGCCCCGGGCGCCCCACCTTGATGGCCAAGCCAACCAGCTGGGCGGCCGTGTCATAGAAGAGGTGCCCCGGCTTGAGCCTGGCGCCGCCGCCGGGCAGCAGCAGCCCGTTGATTGCGGCAAACCTGTCGGGGGGGTGTGATGAGGGGGGTGGGCGGCGGGCCGGGCGCGTCGGGGCCCTGCACTGCTTGGCTGTCGCGGGCTGCAATTTGAATCGGCAACCGACCCCTTGGGTTTAGAAGGATGCTGCAAGGGGGTGCATCTCGGGATATGCAAGGGGGGGTCTTAAGTGCCACTATGACGGCTGGCGCTCACTTGCGCCTGATGTCCTCCTGTGTGTCGTCATAGAAGATGGGGATGACGCGCGCTCCAGCGGCCTGCGCGGCACGAGGCGAGAGGCGTCCGCGGCGCCGGGCTTGGCACGAGAGCTGGAGCCGGGCGGGAGCGCGGCGGTCTGCTACTACGCGGCCCCCGCCAGCTGGTGCGGGCAACGCTCGTAGGGGGTGCCTTTGGGCCGGACGGGGCTTCAGCAGTTCTAGCTGCCGTGCAGCAGCAGCAGCAGCTGCAGCAGCAGCAGCAGCAGCTGCAGCAGCAGCAGCAGCAGCAGAATCCACCCACCTCAACCCACTTAATGTAGCTGGCGGCAATGTACGAGTCACCATCAGGGGCCGGCGCACCAGGCTGCGCAGCGCCAGGGTTGTGATGCGACCCAGGGGGAGGGGTGGGCTAGCGGGCAGTGCTATCTGCTGGCTTCCCAACCTCTGATTGACTACTGTTTCATGATGATAAGCAGCCACACACCACAAAATTCACAATGCGCCTGAAACAATTTGCGGCAGCTGCAATTCCCGGCGGCTTCCAACGAGCAGCAGCCGCTGACGCAGCAGGGTGAGGTGAGCGCCCACGCACCTGAGAGAGGATCCCAATAATGGGGCGCTCATTCACTGAGTTTGACAGCGCCTTCTTCGTTTGCATGAGAGGGTCAGGAAGCCTGCAGGCGAGGCAGACGAGTGAGCACACCAGGATGGAGCGAGGTGTGCAGTCCCAGTGGCTTGCCCTGGCTAGCCAAGGCCCAGTGGACCTCTAAAACATTCACCTGGATGCTCTGCATGCCATAATCAGCGCGGAGACGGCCAGAAATGGCAGCATCCCCGAGCGTGCCATCCTGAGAGATCGGTGAGGTGTCCGGTATGGCCGCCTCCGCAGGTAAATTAATACAGCGAGCCCACTGAAAATTAGTTGGAATCCAATTGAGCTGGAAGAGTAAGCGCCAGCGGTTCTATTCGTGGGCAGGACACACGCAGCCAGAGGTGTCGGCCTGGTGGACCGCAAGAGGAAACAGGCCATCACTCCCCCACCACACCCCATGTGCCATTTGATGAACTGACAAAGCATCTCGCACACGCCGCCGTCGCCCCCGATGTTTGACTAGACCCGTGCGCCGCTCATGCATGCGCTCCCGCCCTCCCAGTCGATTGCGGGCGCACATCCCCCCACTTGGCCAGCCGTCAAGGCCACCCGAGCACGCGCAATCCAATCCCATCTTGATTTGCGCTGTGCGGCCCGTGAAGCCGCACTTGACCTGGGCTAGCAGCCCAAAGTGGCCCGCCCAGACAAGCCCCAGCGCTGTTCGCTCCTTCCTAGGGGTGAAAACCCTGCCGCGTCAACGCACAGCCGCCTCCGGTGCGTCACTAATAACTTTGTGCATGCTTTACAAAGGGTGGGACGTGGCTGCTCTGGAATCCAGAGGGGGAGTGAACGTATGAGTGAAAAATCAAGTAGGGAGGGACAGGCTGGTGTTTGGTGATCGCTGGGCGCCAAAGACATGTGGACAAGGTCGTCGGTCGCAGCACCCGGCACGCGACTGAGGAACCCCAGCAGCCCGGGTGCGCAGCAGGCGCCAGCCACCCAAGGACAGCGGCGGCGCGCTGCGCGCTGCGCCGCTACTGCGCCGCCGCCGGCTGCCGCCGCCACGACGCCTTGCCGAACGGCGCCGCCGCGCCGCCGGCGGCGCCCTGGCCCGCCGCGCCGCCCAAGCCCACGCCGGCCGCGGAGCTCTTGGGGGCGACGTGGATCACCTCATCCAGCAGCCGCGACCCCGACAGATCCAGCGCCGCCCGCACCGCGTCTTGCGACTGGAACTCCACGAAAGCCATGCGGCGCGCGGGCTTGACGGTCACCCGCTTCACAGGGCCGCAGCTGGCAAAGTGCGCGGTCACGACCATGCTGGGCGCGCGCGGGTCCACGTTTGTCACCAGGACAGACCGGCCGTCCGCCTCCCGCTTGGCCGCGAGCTCCTCCGGCGACATCCCCACCCGCGCCGCGCCCGCCGCGGCGCCGCGCAAGCCAAGGCCGCCGGCGGCGGCGCCGCCGCCGGCAGCCTTGAGGCGCTTAACCTCTTCGCTGGCCGCCGCCAGGCGCCGCTTGAGCGCGATCAGCTCGTCATCGCCCGCCGCCGCCGCGGGCGCCGCCTTCTTGGCGGCGGCGGCCGGCTTCGCGCCCGCCGGCCGCGCGGCCGCGGGGTTGGACCCTGCGGGCG